CCCCAAAACCCCAAAACCCCATTTCAATCAGGATAAAAAAATTATGCATTATGAACTAAAAAATAATTTATAAATCAATGATTTTCTTTTATAAGCTAATTATAAACTTCAAATAATTTCTAAGACGCAACTTCAAAATCCAATCTCTAATTAATGTCAAATGCAATACATTCATAAATAATCTCCACTAATGGCTCTGGCACAAAATCTACTTTCCATTCAGGCAATTTTCCTAAGAAAACTTGCTCATTAGCATCACTAGTATTGAATTAATTCCAAACCAGTTCATTATGAAACATCTCGTACATAATCAGCCCAAACATGTAGACATCACTTCTTGGAACATAATTATTCTTATCAATAATTGCCTCTGGACTGTAATTTCTTGTCTTTCCTCTTGGCAATAGATGCTTATCTGCCTCAGTTGCACTTACACCGAAATCACATATCTTGAATAAGGGATATTCATCTGAGGGAAAGACTAATATATTGTCCAACGTAAAATCTCTGTGGAGTATGCCGCTTTTGGCCATTTAAGCAGAAGCTTCTGCAAGATAAGCAAAGCCTAAAATAATCTTTACATCAAATTATTCTTGAAATAAATGATGATTAGTTCTGGTGAAGTCCCATCCACTCTAGCCGTTTTCGCACAATTCCATTACAGTAAATACAATATCTTCGTGATGTCCAACTCCAAACATCTACACACAGTTTTTATGCTGAATTGCAGAAAGAGCTCTGACCTCTCTAACGAAAGTGTCAAGTCTCCTAGATCTTTGCTGGTTTAATTTAATCTTTTTTACTGCTACAGGTGTCACTTCATCATTATTTAATGTCAAATTCATTTATTCAACTACACCTTAAACTCCCTTGCCTAAGATAACTGGCCAAAATCTTATCTACTTCAGTTAACTGTATTCTATAATTTTTACTTTATTTCTATCGATATCTTTCAAGACTTCCTCTTTGTTTTAAATAACCTGATTTTTTGTTTTACATATTTTGAAAATTATCTTGTTATCAATAATAAATTTAATGAGATCTTAAGACAACGCATTATCTAGTTACTAGAAATTTTGAGCATTTATTAAATCTCGAACTTCTTTTGATGGAGAATTCTTAATGGTAATTGCTTGGTTGTAATCAGATTTTAAAACTAATAATGTTTTGCTTAGCAATGGATTATCTAAGATCTAATCTTCCAATCCCTCAAATTCTTTTACTTAAACTTCTTAATCCATTATTAAACCTATTCTTTAATAGGGATTTCTTATATAATCAGACATTGCTACAGCTTAGTTAAGTTTATTAATACTCATTATTGTAATAACTTGAATTTCCTAATCACCATATTTATCCTTGATCTACTTCAAGATTTCAACAGTAATCTAACCTAAACTCTAATTGTCTTTCGATTCAATTAGCTTATCGAAGCTTAAAATAGGCAAGTCTAAGACACTTTCTCTAAGTTCAATAGCTGCTTGTATCAAATCCTTTCTCTGCTTATTTGGAAGAAGAGGCATTCCATTGTTTTTTTTCCTAATTTGTAGATCATGCAAAGGTATCAAAATTGCACAAATCACATTAAACTCATTTTAAATTTTAAGTTATTTTCTAGCAATGTCTAAATTGATAAGGTGCTTATTATTAAATGGACAGAAAACACCAGAGTATATTAAAATAGTAGGGTTCTGCAGAGATGATTCAATGTCTGGTAGCTAAAGTGCAAATTTGCTGCTGTTTAGCTTTGCTGATTACTCCATAATAATAACTGAGTAAATTTTGTTAAATTAATTGAAGTAAATAATTCAACCAATGCAACTCATATTGAAGATTGTGGGGTTTTGGGGTTTTGGGGTTTTGGGG